GTGTTAAAGGTAAATAAGAAGTCATCCATTGGGTTAGGCGTGGGCGGCAAGCTGTATAAGAATGACACGCTGGAAATAGCCCAGTGTTCAGAATCTGTCATGCGAATGCTCTGAACCATTGTGCACAAATAAACCTGTCTTCTCCAACCCTTCGTGGTCTTGTCTTCTGATGTAAGTATCGTGGTTTTTTCCACAACAAGATCACTGAACCATTGGAGTGCTTCCCAGCTTTATTTGGGAGAACCCAGAGAAATAAAACCTGGACTTGACTGGGATTCTACTTCGGAACTACAGACCTCATGTTTCTTTCAGAGACATTAGTGAGCATTCTACAGAAATCAGTAATACAGTGGTTGGGAATAAATGAATGTATTTATTTAAAATTCTATTCTTCCTTTCATTTTGGAGCAGAAAGTGGTATGTATGGTGTTTCCTCCTCCTTGTTCTTTCTCAAAACAGCAACCCTGGGATGTCTGTTGGGTTGAGTGAGAAAGACTGGCTCAAAGTCACCCAGTGAAGTTCTATGGCTGAGGATGGACTTGAACCTTGCTCTTCCTATAGTCTTAACTACTCTCCCTCATTCTCTTTGGTCTTTTGCAGTGTCGATGGGGAGAAATGAACATATATGTTGAAGATTTAGAACTCACTTTACTTTCATTTATAGGTCATCCTTTGACTTACTATCACAATTGAGCCTGGAATTAGGTTAATAAATCTTTGTGGATGTAAGTCAAAGCATTGCCTAACCAAATTTAAGTTGCAACCACTTTTTATGACAATTGTTAAGCAAATGCTATGGTCATTAAATGAATAAGGTGGTCATTAAATGAATCTATTTCCCCAATGGGCGGGTTTTGCTGGAAACCAGAAGTAAACACCAGAAACTGGCAAAAACGTCACAAATTGTGGTCATGTGACTATGGGACACTGCAAACGGCCACAAAAGTGAGCCAACTGCCAAGCCTCCAAAATATAATTACATGATGCAAGAGGTTGCAACTGTTGTAACTCCACACACAGGTTCTAAGTTATCTCTGGGAGATCCATTGTAACTTTGAACAGTCATTAAGTGACTGATCATAAGTTGAAGATTTATGTTGTGTGAAGTGTATATTGCAAAATCCTCCTGAAGCAACCTGTTTGTTACCAGAAATACATGTTTTGTGCCTGCTTGGTTCATATCATGATATCCATTTTTATAGCCTTAGTAACCCTTTAGTATGAATAGCTCACTCATCAATACAGAGATGCTTAAACTTGAGAAAACAGGTTTACCTTTTTTAAAATGAGGAAACTAGAAATCTAGGCAATATCTGTCCACCAGAAGCCACAATATTCAAGCACCAAAATCCAAATTTTATTCCAAAACCAGTATCTGATAATAGTCATGAACATTTCCGGCAGGAAGAAAAAGATAAACTTTTAGCCTTGCGAGGCACTGAAAAACTTATTCCAATATTATAATAAATATTTCCACCCTCCAGTCTCATTTCTCTGCTATTTCCCTTTTTAAAAAAGGATGACTTGATTATCACTAGGCTTCTCTTATTCTGCAGAATTGTCACTTAATTTTTTTCCCTCCCATAACTGAACAACTAGGATTTCAATAAAAACAACCATCTCCACCATCTCCCCAAGGGCATAAATCAGAAAATGTCTCTTAGGGAGTTTTTTTCAACTAATATCTCAATCCCTTATTGCCATATCCTCTCTGCCCTTTCAGAAAACAAACCTTTATTCATTTGTTCTATGGAATTATACTCAAGCCTTCCCCTTTCCATTTTCTAGAACCGATTGATCAAGAAAATGTACATATCAAACCATCATCATGTGAAACTTACCAGGGATAACTAAAAATAGAAGTCTGGGTGCACTTTTATCATTCCAGAGATCTTCCCAAGGGCCACACTTTAGAATCTGTGTAAGGGCTCCAGAAATGTAAGTGAACTCTTCATGTATCAAATCTTGTTCTTTAGAATCTGATTTCATGCTTGTTGCTGAAGAGAAAATAAAGAGAGTTTAAAGGTAACTAGTTAGCTATGAATAATCATTCCACACTTGTTTGGCTTTATAAAAAAATGCCAGCAATTTTCTGGCCAAACAAGTTACAGGAGTTTTGTCAACTCCTACATGATGGTTTCAGAAATTCTCATGTAGTGAACAAGTAAGGTTAACAGCAGCTTCCTATGTTATTAAATACTCACAGAAGAGGCACTGAATCTTATCAGAATTACAACTGGTAATTTACAATACCACAAGCACAGAATGTTCACTAAAGCTAATTACATCAAGGGCAATGGTGGGATTCAAATATGTGAACAACTGGTTCTCTGTGTGGATGCCACTTCTGGAAGTCCATTCTGGGCCTGGACAACAAAAAATTAGCTACCGGTTCTGCCAAAGTGGTGTGAACCGGCTGAATCCCACTACTGATCAAGGGCCTGATGTTTGTTGCATGTAGATTGAAAAAAATCAATGAGCAGGGTAGCAATTCAAGGCTTTTATTCCTAGTACATTAGTTTCTTGAAAAGCTGCTTAATGAAAAAAAAAATGAATGTAATGAAAAAAAATCAGACTTATTTTAAACTTTGTCAAGGAAAATAAATTCTCAGATTTAATTTACCAAATTCAAACTCTTCAGTGCCAACTTTTTTTTATTAAAAAAAAATACTTCCATTAATGGGATTAAATCAGTCCTGGAGGGAATCCACTCCATTTGCTCCCTGATGCACTCTGGAGCTAATGGTATTGCTTTAAAGGAGGAGTGCTCCCCCCATCCCTTGAAAATAGGGGGGGGAGGTATTCCTTAAGACTATAGGTAGTCCTTGACTTACAACAGTTCATTTAGTTACAACGGCACTGGAAAAAGTGACTTATGATCAATTTCACAGTTACGACCTTTGCAGCATCTCCATGGTCATATGATTAAAATTCAGATGCTTGGCAACTGGTTCATATTTATGACGGTTGCTGTATCCCAGGGTCATGTGATCACCTTCTGCCACCTTCTGACAAGCAAAGTCAATGGGAAACCAGATTCACTAAACAACCGGGGTTACTAACTTAACAACTGCAGTGATTCACTTAACAACTGTGACAAGAAAGATCGTAAAATGAGGCAAAACTCACTTAACAAATATCTCACTTAACAACAGAAATTTTGGGCTCAATTGTGGTCATAGGTCGAGGACTACCTTTACCAAGAAAGAGGAAGGGGTTAATATTCCTTTTTAGATCTCTGATGTCCTTGACAGTCTTCATCAGTTAATGCCTTTTGCTAATAAAAATCAGAAAATATCATGGCACATTTGACACTGAGTATAGTTTGCTGCATATGCAATAGTGAGCCTTATCTCTGCCACAGGAGAAATCAAACAGGAAATTATTTCCAGCACCATCCTTAGGGAACAAGGTACAAAATTTCTTTTCAGAGAAATTGCATGATGCAACCATGTCGATCCAAAGTGTGGTGTAGTTTATTCTTACATAATATTTGAAACCACATTATTTTACTGTACCCAGGAGAGGTTATGTTCCAAACATCAACATCATAAGACTACTGTTGCTTCTCTGCAAATAATTTTTTAACAGTTGAAAGAACAGTCCAGAATAGCAGTAATGATTTTTCCTCTTTCCTGTTAGAGAACAGGATGGGGGGGGGAGGGAATGTCTTCTGTAGTATAACATATAAAAAACCAAGAGAGGCAATCAGCCTCCCCCCCCCCCCGCGGGACTATGCCCACCTCGTGACCAATAGTTAGGATTAGGCTAATGATCATGGGAACAATAGCCAAAACAAAGCAGCAGCTAGTCTAAAAGTGCAGGGCCGCAGGGTTGTTTGTTTGTTTGTTTGTTTGTGTGTGAAACAGACCGGAAATATTGCATTTAGTGCAAACATGACGCTGAGCAGGAAGATTCCTTTGTTACTCTTCTTTTCCGCACCAGATTGCCTCGCTTTAGTTGCTCCATCAGCCTCCTTATTTCAACTATAAAGTTCAATTATTTAGCATAGGCTCAGTGCAATTATGACCGTTTGATGGCTGTCCAGAAAACAAGCAAAGTGTGATGGCTTCTGCCATCATTACCCTGGAAAAAGAAGGTGGAAAACGGGAGCGATTAATATCAGGGGCTGGAGAAGAGGACCGCCGGAGAAGGGCTGAAAAACCAACGAGGCAATCCTTGGCCAAGCACGTACCTTCCCCATTCAGCGGCTCTCGACCGGCTCCGAGCATCTCTCAGGCAGGGAGAAGCGCAGCAGCTCCTGGTCCTCACACGCTCGGCCGGGCGGAAGTTAAAAACAGTAGCGAGATGCACTCTCGGCACCCGTGACTCTTCCGCCCGGCTGAGACGTAAAGGGGCGTTGAGACTCGAATCGTTCTAAAGGCTCCACCCCCCTCCCCCGAGCAGGGGAGGCCATTGGAGTTCGCTTAATTCCGGTATTCAGAGTATAGGTTGCACTTGGGGGCAGCTTCGCTTCTGATGCACGCATGCGCAATCCTCACTCTATGCCTTCGCGACTTTTCTGTCTTTTTTTTACAGTAGCAATAAGGTAAAAGACTTGGGTGTTCTGTGTCTGTCTGCCATCTCATTCAAAACATTTATGTATCTTGCAACCATCTTGCACCAAATTGAGTGGCTTACAACCCAAAAATAAGATGTCATCTATAATGAAAATATTAAAACCAAAACTATTAAAACTAATAGACTTTTCACCACAGTTAAGCTTTGCCTTGCAGCCTGCAACAAGTTCATTTTACCAATCTCACCCTATCCCAGCACTTGGAGGGAAAAGCCGGGTCTTGAGCATTTTTTTGGAAGGTTAAAAATAGACTCCCATTCCAGCCCATTTGCAGTGTAAAACAGCACTTTAATGCCCTGGGAGCCCCAGTATTCCTCTGAGTCTCAGGACGCTGCCTCCTCTCACTTCTAATCCTGAACTGAAATAGTGCCCTACCTTGATATTCTTCCTAGATCCCTGGATGCGTATATGGCAATCTCCAGCATCCCAGTTTTGGTTTCTATTTATGATTGCCTCTAATACAGTAAGAGCATTTGCCACACAATATTACACATTTATGTATTAAGTCAGCATTATTTACCATCTTCCCATTTTCTTAGAAGGGTGTTACAGTAAATGGCCAGCCAGGCTGCCCAGGTATAGGAACCGGGCTTATTTACAGTAGTGGCCAAAATTGTGGAAACCTTTTGGGAAAAGTGTATTTTTGAGGTTTGATGGCTAATAACACCACTTTTTTTGGAGTAGTACCATAAAATTATATATCAATGGAAAGATAATTTAATCAAGAATGTAATGCAACAAAGTTTGTTCAATTATCTGTACTGTATTCTATGAAAAGTTATAGCCAAATAACCAGAAAAAGAAAGCACAACTTGCTTAGGTTGATATCAGGTAGTTTTCCATCATCTGATTGTAGCCAATGAGCATGAGTGTTTAGAGCAGGGGTAGTCAACCTTGGCTCTTTTATGACTCGTGGACTTCAATTCTGGGAGTTGAAGTCCACGAGTCATAAAAGAGCCAAGGTTGACTACCCCTGGTTTAGAGAGCCAATCAGATGTCATCTTGTTTTGGCAATGAGCCAATCAGATCACAGTGGGATTCAGTTATGGATGTCATATATTGAAGCTGAGAGGAGGACATTTGTCAGTGTGTTATGTGATTGCTATCAAGTTGGTTGGGTTTTTTTTTTTCTTTCATTTAGTGAGCTTGTAAAACGTAATACAATTAAAGTAATGGTGCAAAGAGTTGACTGGTTGCCCAGAAAGCGATGTAAAATAGTATTGTTAAGTGAACAAGGCTACAGTTATAAAGAAATTAGAAGAAAAATTGGTGGAAACTTAACCAAAGGTGACATTCCTACTCTACACTTTTCCCAAAAGGTTTCCACAATTTTGGCCACTACTGTATATTTCCTAGCACCAGAGATAGTGTCATATACAGGTAGTCCTTGACTTAAGACCAAAATTGGGACAAGAATATCTGTTATTAAGCAAAGCAATTGTTAAGTGAATCGTGCCTGATTTTATGACCATTTTTGCCATGGTTGTTAAGCGAATCACCCAGTTGTTAAGCAAATCTGGCTTTCCCCATTGACTTTGCTTGTCAGAAGCTGGTTTGCAAATGGCCATCACATGACTCTGGAACACTGCAACCTTTGTAGCTAGGCACCAATTATCAAGGACCTGAATGTTGATCACGTGACTGGGGATGCTGCAATTTTTCAAGCGCTTACCCCGGTTTCCCTATATTATTCCCTAGGTTAAACAGGGCTGCTGAAATCTTTGTTCCAAAGTTTTCAGGGTTACAACTATCAAAAATAGAGAGACACCAGGAATTTTCTTACGAGTCTAAAAATATATAGGAAGCTGCTCTTTAGCGCTACTTCTATGTACATGTATGAACCCCTCTTAATGCTGGACAAAAAGCAGAAGAGAGGTATTTTCAATTGTCTGTGTATCCTAACACGTATTTTACTGGCATTACAAATGCAGAAAATCAGAATTTGTAATTTGAGTAACACTCACATAATTCTATTAGGTCCATCATCTTAAATGTGGCACATAGCTATTGTGCAAGAAAAGGCTTCAGATGGGAGCTGAACTCAACTGAATCAGCAATTTTTCCATCACATTGCTTCCTTCCACAGTATCTCCCTTGAGATCCTCTCAGCTCATCCAAATGATTTTGGACAGGTGCACATTTACCTTTACTTTTTTAGAGAAGGAATTTAGGGGTAGAGTTAGCCAGATTGTGGATGCATTGCTTGTTGCGGTCTACCTATTTGGCAAAAGAAAAAAAATACTCATTGGCAAGATAACTATACGCTGGGGTTTCAAACACGAATTTTTGCCATCCTCCATGGAGATGCCAGGAATTGAACTTGGGATCTTGGTCTACAAAAGAAATGCTCTACTACCCATTTATGAACCTTCTTTTTCTCAGACTAGTCGACATCAGTTCTCGATGTACA